CCCCCCCCCATTGCTGTGTTTCCAGCTGATGGGAACATCAAAGCAGTTGTTTTCTCATCAACCTGCCACGCTCCAGCAGCCACTGGGAGCATGAAGCCACAGCACTGGCTCTGACACCTCAGAGCTGCTGCAGGGGGGGTGGGGAGCTCCCTCCCCTTGTACCCGAAATCCCAACAGCAGCACCAGATGTGGCCTTCACCCTGCCCACGCTGTCTGTCCCTGGCATCACCTCACCAGCCTTAAGCCAGTCTCAGCTTGGTGCAGCTGGCAGGATGGTGGGGGGGAGGGGGGGTGGTCATGGTGCCTCTGCGGTCCCCAGCGCTTCCTGGTTCCCCCTAGTCCCCCTTGCCCTCCCGCCCTATGCCCGGGGTGCTCCCAGGCCGTATCCGGGTTGTGCCACAGCTGTTCGGTGAGCAAAGTGTGTCACAGCGGCGCCAAGGCACACCAAGGGGCGTGACAGTGCCATGTGATCCCAGGAACATGGGGGGGCGCAGGGTTTCACCTCCACACCAGGGAGAGGTGCAGGGCTGTTGCTGCTCCAAGGTTCCTGGGCAACCCCAGCCATATCATCCCCCCACCCACAGCACTCCCATTTCCCAGCATCCTCTCATACTGCCTCCCCCCACCACCACAATACTCCCTCACTCTCAGCATCCCCCCTGGACCCCAGCTCCCCTCAATCCAGAGCATCTCCCACCCAAATCACCCTCATTGTCCAGTATCCCCCCACACTGAACTCTCCCCCACCCAAGTATGCCCCCACTCTGAGCACCCTCCCAAGCCCCCCTCACCAGGCCCTGGGCACCACAGGACACCACACCTTAACTCAAAACTATCCCTTGAAGGCACTGCCGGGCCCAGAGGCCAGCCCCTCTCAGGGAGCACAGGGTGTGGGAGCAGCCCGGGAGGTCTCAGGTGCAGCTCCCCTGCACGCTCCCTCTCTGTCTGCTGCAGTCCGAGTACCACTATGAGTACACAGCATGTGACAGCTCAGGATCACGCTGGAGGGTGGCTGTACCACACACGCCTGGACTCTGCACCGGCCTGCCTGACCCTGTCAGGGGCACTGAATGCTGTAAGGTTCCGACCAGGAATGGGATGGGGTCAGGCTGGGGGTGGGAATGGCAGGGATGGGAAATGAGGGCGACAGGAGGGAGAGAGTGGGGATACAAGCATAGCCATTATCGGCTCCAGTGCAGGGAACAGGAGGATGGAATGGGATCAGTGGGATGGGAATCCCCCGGGATGGGATGGTAGAAGAACTACAAGCACTGGGATGGGATGGGATGGAATAGGAATCATCCACACACCAACTCCCTGGGATGGGATGAGAGGGATGGGAACCAGAAACAGACAGGCATTGGGGTGGGATAAGACAGATGGGAATCACATGCACACACAGATAGGATGGGATGGTAATCACACATACAGTCATGGAATGGGATGAGAGGGATGGGAATCACACACACTGGGATGGAAATCCCCTCATCCCACACATGCACCAGGACAGGATGAGCAAGATGTGCACTCACTCACCTGAATGGGATGAGAGAGATGGAAATCCCACACACATAATGGGATAGGATGGGATGGGAATCCCACACATGGACAGTAGGATGGGATAAGAGGGATGGAAATCACACACACATGCATGAGAATGGGATGGGAATCACACACACAGTCACCAAATGGAATGAGAGCCATGGCAATCCCACCACACATACTTGGATGGAAATCTCCCCATCGCACACATGCACCAGGATAGGACGAGCAAGATGAGAATCCCCCTCACACAAACTCACTTACTAGGATGGGATGAGCAGGATGGGAATCCCAAACACATGCCCCCAAAGCCTGGGGGTGCCCCGGCTCCATGGCAGAGGGTTACATTCTGCCTGGATTGGGCAGAGTTGGGCGTTGGGTACCAAAACTCATGGCTGTGGGGGTTGCCCTTGTGGAATGGTAAGAATGGGGGATCCCAGTGCCTCCACCAGCTGGAGCACTTGGAAATGCAGAGCTGAGGGTGATGAGGCTGTAGCAGCACCAGGAGGATTGGGGGTGACCCTCCATGCCCTGTGCCCCGTCTCCATTGGCAGCATTCTCCTGTAAGGCGGGTGAGTTCCTGGAGATGCAGACACAGACGTGCCGGCCCTGCGCTGCAGGCACCTACTCGCTGGGCACTGGTGTCCGCTTTGATGAGTGGGATGAGGTGCCCCATGGCTTTGCCAACGTGGCCACCAACCTGGAGGTGGATGACAGCTTTGGCGATGCGGCAGAGAACTGCACAACGTGAGTCACTGTGTCACTGGCTGTGATGCCAGCACATGAGCACCTGGCATGTCAGGACAGGGTGCGGGGCACAGCGAGCAGGATGGGTGTGACACCCCTGTGCATCCATAGTGCCCAGTTGCCCCGATGCCCTTCTGTCATCCTGCCCTGGGAGGTGACACCAGCAGGGCATTACAGGGGCACCCTGATCACAGCAAGGGAACACCCAGCAGCATCACCCCCCGCCAGAAGTGGCAGAACCCCAACCCCATGGGACGTCCACATCAATATTCCTTGGAGATGGAGCACCCATGGAGGTCCTCACAGCTCCTATGGGGGGTCTCTACAGCACTCATGGGGGATCTCCACACCCCTGTGCCACCAGCGAGAGCCTTTATTTACCACCATAGCCCTTTGATCCTCACTGGCAACCTCTGAGCTCTTTTGGTTGTGCTGGCAGCCACCAGACCCTCTTACTTGTACCACAGCCATCAAGGCCTCTCATTTCTACCAGCAGCTGCCAAGCTCTCCCAGTTGTTCCGCTGCCACGGAACTTCCCACCAGCTGGTTGTACCAGCAGCCACTGGTACACAGCAAATACAGACAGCTACCACACCCTCCTCGTTGTACCACACCACTGAGCCCTCCCAGTTGTACCAGCTGCCAAAAAACACCCTGGTTACACCAACAACCACCAAGCTATCCCATATGTATTGTCAGGTTCTGAACCCTCCTGATTATACCAACAACCAAGAAACCCTCCCAGTTGTACCAACAACCACCAAACCCTCAGTTTTACTGGCACCGCCACACTGCTCCATTGATGCCTCTCTCAGCCACTCCCTACTCCCAGTAGCGTGTTCCTCATCCAGTCACATTCCCAGAACAGGGGGACCCCACTCTGTTCTCCTTGCAGTCCACATGGCTGTCAGCAGGCCAGGGGATTCTCCCCAGGGATATGTGTCTAGCCACCACACCTTGCCATGTCCCTAAGATGTGCCCAAGCCCCTGTGCCCCTCATTTCCCCCCTGCTTCTTGGGGACCCTCCTGGCTGTCCCTACAATCCCTGTCCTGCCTGCTGAGAGTGGTGACAGGATATATCACTTGCCCCAGGTCAACGTGGGTGCCGCTGGGGGATTACGTGGCCTCCAACACAGATGAGTGCACGGCCACCCTCATGTATGCTGTGAGCCTCAAGCAGTCGGGGACTGTCACCTTCGAGTACATCTACCCTGACAGCAGCATCGTCTTTGAATTCTTTGTGGGTGACGGGGGCACAGCTGGAGGGTGTGGGTCTCTGGGGACATGGAGGGGTCCATTGGGATATAAGAGAGGGTCCTAGATGGCATGAAGTGTCCCTAGGTACATGGGAGAAGTCCCTTGTGACCTGAGTGGGTCTGTGGGGACTCCTCAGGGGTCCCTGGGGACATGATATTTGTCCCTAGGGACATGGAAGTAGTCCCTGAGAACATGATGTGCATCCCTGGGGACATGGCAGGATCTCTGGTGGATGTGACAGGGGTCTCTGGGGACATGGGGAAGGAGACCCTGGATATAAGGGAAGGGTCCCTGGGGACATCATGGGGGTCCTTGCAGACATGGAGGGGTTCCCGGGGACATGAGAGTGGACCCTGGTGACGTGAGGGGAGCCCCATGAGATATGGCAGTGGTTCATGGAGGCATGAGGAGGGGTCCCTAGGAATATGGAGGGTCCCTGGGAGCATGGGGGTGTGTCCCTGGGGACATGCGGGGTCCCTGTGAACACGGGGTCCCTGACACTCTCCCTGCAGGTGCAGAACGACCAGTGCCAGCCCACGGTGGAGGAGTCCCGCTGGATGCGGACTACAGAGAAGGGCTGGGAATTCCACAGCGTGAGTGTTCGGTGGGAAGTGACACCATGGGGAGGTCCCTCGATGCTGCCCCAGCTATCCTTGTCCCTCCTGTGGGAAGAAGATGCTCCACGAGGCTGAGGAGGGGGCGGTGGGTGATGACAGATGGGGGTGCCACACACCTCCCTCCACTGGTGCCAACCCCCTCCACGGCAGCGGGATCCCCCACCCATGGTGCCAAACCCATCCCTGCAATGGGGTTACCCAGTCCCATGGGATCCTTCTCCCAGGTGGAGCTGAGCCGTGGGAACAACGTGCTGTACTGGCGGACCACCGCCTTCTCCGTCTGGTCCAAGGTGCCTAAACCGGTGCTGGTGAGGAACATCGGCATTACAGGTGGGTAGGGGCAGGAGGGAGGGTCTCGGGGTCGCGCACCTGCCTCCCCGCTACCTGAGCCTCCTCCCTCTCCCAGGGGTGGCCTTCACTTCCGAGTGCTTCCCCTGCAAGCCCGGCACCTTCGCCCCCGCTGCCGGCTCAACCGCCTGCCAGCCCTGTCCCGCCGACACCTTCTCTGGCAAAGGGGCCACTGCCTGCCAGCCCTGCGACCCTGACACCTATGCCGGTGAGAGGGGACACCCGGGGCTCTCCCCTCCCATATACTGTCCCTCTAGTATATGACCCTGGGAAGGGAAGGGGTGATGTAGGGAGCAGGGGTGACCTGACATCCCCTGGTGGCGACAGTGTTGGTGCCCCTCACAAACCTGACACCTATGCTGGTGAGGGGCGACACCCTTAGGGGTTCCTTTGTCCCCGCAATCTGTGCTGCAGGAGTGGCCCTGGGGGAGGGAGAGACGATGTGGGGAGTAGGGAGCACCCACTACCCCTTGGTTGGGAGGGAAGACAAGGACACCCCGTGTGGTGGGAACAGCACCGGGGTCTCCGAGCTGTGCTGGCTCACCCGCTGTGTCTCTCCTCAGCAGAGCCTGGCTCGGGGTCCTGCAAGCCACGTCCGCCCTGCACGGACAAGGATTTCTTCTACACCCACACGGCCTGCGACGCTGGTGGGGAGGTAATGTGGGGGCACCCCACGGTGGTCCCCCTGTCCCCCGGTGTTCCCCCCGGCTCACCTGCTTCCCCGACAGACCCAGCTGATGTACAAGTGGGCAGAGCCCAAGATCTGCAGTGAGGAGCTGCCGCAGGCGGCCCGGCTGCCATCCTCAGGGGTCAAGACTCGATGCCCCCCCTGCAATCCTGGCTTCGCCAAAGGCAATGGCAGCACCTGCCAGCCCTGTCCCTATGGCTTCTATTCCAATGGCTCCGGTAAGGCGGCCCTGTCATTGTCCCCAAAGTGTGACTGGGCAGCCTGAGCTGCCAGGGGAAGGTGGGTGCCAATCCAGTGCTGGGTTGTCCCCTCCTGTTCCCATGGCTCCAATAAGGACACCTCCACCACTGTCCCCAAGGAGTAACTGGGGTCTCTGGGGCTACCAGGGGGAGATGAGTGCCACCTCAGTGCAGGGTTGTCCCATCCTGTTCCCATCATTGTTCCTAAGTGGTGACCAAAGCACCCAAAGCTGACAGAGAGAAAGGTGGTACCACCCTGGTGCAGGGCTGTCCCTATGTATCCAGTAAGAACATCCCAGTTATTGTCTCTAGAAAGTAACTGGGATCCCTGGAGCTGCCAAGGGAAGGTGGGTACCAACTCAGTACAGAGCTGTCCTCTCCTGTCTCCATCATTGTCCCCAAGAGGTGGTTACCAATGCTGCAGGGAGGGGAATGTGGTACCACCCTAGTGCAGGGCTGTCCCATCTTGTCCCCATCACTGGCCTCAAGGGGTAAGCAGGGCACTCCAAGCTGACAGAGGGGGAGGTGGGTGCCACCCCTGTGCAGGGCTGTTGCCTCCTCTCCCCAGCCTGCCTCAGATGCCCAGAGGGCACTGAGCCGGCTCTGGGCTTGGAGTACAAGTGGTGGAACGTGCTGCCCCCCAACATGGAGACCACCGTGCTCAGCGGCATCAACTTCGAGTACAAGGGCATTGCAGGTAGTGGCAAGAGGGCTGTCCCTTCCCTGTCCCTTGCTGGGGCACTGCCAGGGACCTGTCTGAGTGTCATTGCATCCCTGCAGGCTGGGAGGTAGCTGGGGACTACATTTACACGGCAGCTGGAGCCTCTGACAGCGACTTCATGATCCTCACACTGGTGGTCCCTGGCTTCAGGTGAGGTGGGGGCCACCACCAGGGAGCAGGGGGGACACGGCCATGGAGCAGAGCTAGCAGTGTCCCCATGCTGTCCCCAGCCCTCCAAGCCCAGTGCTGGAGGACACAGAGAGCAGGGAGGTGGCCAGGATCACCTTTGTTTTTGAGACGGTGTGCAGTGTTGGCTGTGAGCTCTACTTTATGGTGGTGAGTGGGGAGACACAGCAGTTTGGGGGGGCACAGTGAATTTGGGTGGTGCCACCTCCCTTGTCCCCACAGGGTGTCAACTCACGCACCAACACTCCAGTGGAGACATGGACAGGTTCCACAGGGAAACAATCCTACACCTACCTGGTGGAGAAGAACGCGACCATGAGCTTCACCTGGGCCTTCCAGCGCACCCCGTACCACGAGGCGGTGAGGGACAGGGGGCTCTGCTTTGAGAGGGCTGGAGGGCCCAACTTTGGGGGGTCTGGTGGGGGGCGGGGGGCAGATGGTGATGATGCTCTCGGTGCCAGGGCCGGCGGTTCACCAGTGATGTGGCCAAGCTGTACAGCATCAACGTCACCAATGTGCAGGGGGGGGTGGCCTCCTTCTGCCGCCGCTGTGCCCCCCAGCCCACTGGGTCCTGTGCCCCATGTTCCCCTGGCAGTGCTGTGGACCCCAGCTCAGGCACCTGCCAGCCCTGCCCACCTGGCACCTACCTGCGGGGCCACCCCTCCGACGGAACACCCGCCTGCCGCCCCTGTGGCCCTGGCACACGCAGCAACCAGGTGACTGGGGATGGCGGGGGGTCCAAGTGTTCCTAAGTGTCCCCATGGGTGATGCCAATGGGCCCCAGAGGAGTGACACCAGCCTCCCCCACACCCAGGATGTCCCAGATGGTGGCACTGGCAAGCACCAGGAGGGTGACACTATCACGGGTGGGTGACACAAGCCTCCCCCAGTCATCCTGGGTGTGTGACACTATGTCCCCACGGAGGTGACACCAGCCCCTTACAGCCATTCTGGGTGGGTGACAGGATGGGTGACAGTGTCTGACCCCAGGTGGGTGATGCCTGCCCTCCTTGGCCATCTCCAGGGAGGTGACACCAGCCCTGTGGCAGTCCTGGGTGGGTTACAAGGTGGGTGACAATGTCTAATCCTGGGTGGGTAATGCCAGTCCCCCAGCTGTCCCCAGAGAGATGACACCAGCCCCTCCCAGACATCCCAGATGGGTGACAGTATCTGACACTGGTGGGTGGCAGTGGGTGACCCTGGTGGGTGCCACCATGGCCTTGCGGTCTCTGAGGAGTGGTGCCAGCTCTCCAGAGTCCCCACAAGGGTGTCCCCATTTGGTGGCATGGCCATCCCTGAGCTCCCTGTCCCTGTTCTCAGCTGCGATCGCTATGCTACAACAACTGCAGCCTGGCACTGGCACTGCCAGGCCGGATGCTGCACTTCGAGTTCCCATCGCTGGGCCAAGGTGCTGGGGTGGGCACTGGGCCCAGCTTCACCCCCAAAGGGCTGCGCTACAGCCATCACTTCCGCCTTAGCCTCTGTGGGCACCAGGTGAGACCCGTGTGGGCAAACACATGTGCACACATGGCAACACAGCCAGGGGATGGGCGCAGGCACACAAGTGCAAACACGGGCACGTGAGTGGGCACTCAGGAGAGTAGGCACATGTGGGCAGGAGGCCATGTAAACATGCATGCAGACATGGGAACGCACATGGAAAAGCACGCAAGGGCACTCACAGGAGGGCACAGGAACATGCATGAATGTATGGGAACACACCTGGGCTCATGGGTGGGTGGTCATAGATACACAAGTGCAAACACAAGCACATGTTGGGGTGTGTGTGCACTCACAGGCACATGAGTACAAACACAGGTGGGCATGCAAGTGGGTGGACACAAGCACGAGTGCAAACATGGGCACAGTGGGTGGATACTCAGGAGGGTGGACACAGGAACACAGGTGGGCACACTTGGGCACACACGGGCACGAGGGCTCAGGAATACACATGCACACATGAGCATCCAGATGGGCGAACACAGGCACACACCTGGGCACACAGATTGGAGGGGCATGCAGGTGGGCAGACACAGACAGACGTGCATATGTGCTTGTAGTCATGCAAACACAAGGACATGTATGCAAACAAACATTCCCACATGCAGGTGTGCAAATACAGGTGTACATGCTGTCACACCTGCACGCACACACGCACCCACTGGTGCAGTCATGTGTGCACAGTCACACAAACACATCTGCACAGCTGTGCAGACACGTGAACACTCGTGTAAACACATATGGACACTTGTGCAGCCACACCTGCATACCTATGGCCCTGCACACGCAAATGCCAGTCCCTTGTACACATAGTCTCACTCCACACACGTGTATCATGTATGTCCCCACAGGGCAGGAAGATGGCCTCATGTGCTGACAATGTGACGGCAGGTCGGGGGGGCCCTGCCCGTGTGGTCACCTCTTATGTGTGCCAGACCATTCTGGTGCCCCCTGACATCACTGGTGCCCGTGCAGCTGTGTCTTCGCAGCCCGTCAGCCTGGGTGACCACTTGCTGGGTGAGCAGGGAGGGAGGGGGTCACCCTGGGGAACTGGGAGGTCATTGAGACACATGGGTGGGACAGACACTAGAACATCTTGGTGGCACTGGCACACCAACTCTGAGACTCCTTAGGGGGACTGGGACACGTGTGGGACAGGAACTGGGACACCCTCGTGGCACTGAGAGTGGGACACCTTGTTGAAACTAGGACACCCTGGCAGGGACCAGGACACCCCAGTAGCACTGGGACACATGGGTGGGACAGGGAATAGCCTACTCCAGTGGCACTGGGATGCCCCAGTGGGACTCAGACACCCTGGTGGGACTGGGACACCCCAGTGGCACTGGGAGTGGGATACCCTGGTGGGATTGGGACACTGGCACTAGGACATTTCAGCAGCACTGGGATACCTTGGTGGCACAGGGACACCCCAATGGGATTGAAATACACCCTGGTGGGACTGGCACACTACGGGGGCATCTTGTTTGGGAGTGGGACATTGTCACTGGTATATGTCACTGACACCCCAGTGGGACTGGGACACCATGGTGTGATTTGAGACAACCTGCTGGGACTGGGACTCCTCAGTGGGACTGGGACACTGACACTGGGATGCCCTGTTGGGACTGGGGTATCCTGGCAGCACTGGGACACCCTAGTAGGACTGGGACACTCTGGTGGCACTAAGACACTGGGACTGGAACACCCTCCAGTGGGACTGGAGACACCCCTCTCTCCCTGCAGGTGTCACCACCAGCTCCGTGCTGGACAGCATCGTGTCTCCCCCAGAGCTCTTCCCCCCCAGCCATCCTGACCTGCCTGACATCATCTTCTTCTTCAGGTGCAGGCAGGTGACAGGGGGTTGACACCCACACTGTCTCCCCCTGTCCTTCTGACCCCCCATGTCCCCTGGCAGGTCCAACGACATGACACAGCCCTGCAGTGGTGGCCGGGCCACCACCATCCGCCTACGCTGTGATCCCCTGCGCATCGGCACTGGCACCCTGGCTGTCCCCAGGTGGGGAGGGGACACAGGGGACCCCGAGGAGGGTTTTGGGTGACCCAAGCATCTCCCGCTGTCAGGGTTGGGTGCATCCCTGGGGTATTTAGCTTTGGAGACACCATAGTCACAGTGTCAGTGTCCCTCATTCTGAGGCGTCACCCTGGCTGTTCCCAGGTGGAGGGGGTGGGACACTGGGGACACCAAGGAGGGGCTTAAGGGACTCCCAAAGTGACCCAAACATCTCCTGCTGTCATGGGTGGGCATGTCCTTGAGGTACTTTGCTTTGGGGACCACATGACGTGGTGTCAGAGTCCCTCACCCTGAGGTGTCACCCTGGCTGTGTCACCGTGTCCCACATGTACTCAGGCTGGCAGTGAAACAAAGGAGACCCCGAGGGAGGTTTGGGGACCTCAAAGATACCCTGCTGTCATGGTTAGATACTTCTTTGGGGTGCTTCACTTTGGGGATACCACTGTCATGCTGTCCCGACCCTGGGGTGTCACCTTAGCTGTAATCCCCACTTTGGAGCGTCACCATCACCTGAGCACCGCCTTTTTGTCTCTCCGAAGCAAATGCCCCGAGGGCACCTGCGACGGCTGCACCTTCCATTTCCTGTGGGTGACGGCCGAGGGATGTCCCCGCTGCTCCAGCTCCCACCACCGCCCCATCGTCGGCGCCTGTATCGGTGGCGTTCAGGTACCGCCCCGTGCCCCGGGCTGGGCTGCGGCTCCTACGGCCCCTGAACCCCCTTTCCCCCCATCAGAAAACCACCTACGTGTGGCGGGAGCCCCGGCTGTGCCACGGCGGGGACGCCCTGCCGCCGCAGGTGATCCAGGCGTGCCGGAGCGTGGATTTTTGGCTAAAAGTGGGAATTTCCACTGGGACGTGCGTGGCCGTCTTGCTGGCTGCGCTCGCCGCTTATTTCTGGAAAAAGACTCAAAAGTGAGCATTTGGCGGGATTTGGGGACACGGGGGCTAGCACTGTCACGGGGCGGGTGATGGCACCGTCTGCATTTCCAGGTTGGAATACAAATATTCCAAGCTGGTGATGGACGCGGCGGCCCGGGAGACCGACGCGACGTCGCCCGACAGCTGCGCCATCATGGAGGGGGAGGACGCGGAGGACGAGCTGCTCTTTGCCACCGAAATGTCACTTTTTGGAAAACTTAAAGCCCTGACGGCCAAGGTGAGGGGTGGGGTGGGGGGATGGAAACAACCCTGGAGTAGCCACTGGACAAGCGATGGTGAGGGTGGGATTTGAGGATGGTCCGTGCCTCAATTCCCCACCCCGGAGAGGCTCCGTGTCTCAGTTTCCCCACTCCAAGGGGGCTCTGTGCCTCAGTTCCCCACCCCGGGGGCTCCGGGCCTCAGTTTCCTCACCCCACAGCGGATGCCGGATGGATTCGACTCGGTCCCGCTCAAGACCTCATCCAGCAGCACCGATCGGGAGCTGTAAGAGGACGGGGGGCACCCTCGCATCCCCCAGCCCTCCCGGGAGCTGTGACGGGCCAGAGGGGCACCCACGGACACCCCAGCCCCGGGCAGCTGTGAAGGGAAGGGGGGGTACCCACGGCCCATCCCCCCGCGCCCCCCAACGTGGCCCCCATCGTGGCCTTAGGGATCCGCTTCGGACCGGAGCCTCGTTACGGCTTTTGTACGTGTGTCCCCACCGTGTCCTTCCCATCCCAAGCACCCAAAAATGCCAAATACAGGAGTGGGGTTTGTATAAGGGCTCCGTGTGTGTGGGACACGCATGGGGGTGCGGGGAGTTGAGCGTGGGCACCAGAAATGGGTGGGAGGAGGGCGCGGGGGTGTGCGCAGGGTGTCACACGTGTGAGCGGTGCTTAGGAGTGGGGTGGGGGAGCAGCGGAACTTTGACTTCCATCTGCACGCCCCCTAATGGGGGAAGTGGTAGAGGGTCCCCCAGATAGGTAGAGGCACAAGAACCCCGCCGGGACCCCCAAGGAGGGGACAGTGGGGTGACATGTGGTGCCAGAGACAGCCACAGTTGTGCCATGGGGTGCTGTAGAGGGGCGTGGGGCGGCTCTTGGGAGCCCTATGAACAACTGGGGTGCGAGGTGTCCTCGGGTAGGAGATCCACAGAGCCCAGCAGTATCCCTGGGATGTGGCTGAGGAACCCCAGCAATCCTCGGGGTGCGAGGGCAGAACCACAGAGACCCCTCTGGCAGGGGGGCTCAAGGACGCTCGGGCCCCTCCACACCCCACCGTATCATCCCCAAACCCTCTCATAACTTCCCGACACCCCCGTCCTCCTGCCCTGCCTGGGCGTCCAGACCCGCTGGCACCTCCCTTGGTGGGGGTCAGGGGTGCTCGGGCCGCTCGGCCCTCAGACCCTCCGGGCCGCGTCCTCCCGTCCTGCTGCGCCGCCTCCGGGCCACCAAGGGGCGCTGCTGCCCCATCGCTGCGGCCACGCCCCTTCCGCGCACGCGCGCGGAGCAGCTGTCCCCGCCGGTGCTCCCGGTGCCGCCGCCGCCATCAGCCGTCATGGTGCTGGACCTGGACCTGTTCCGCGCCGACAAGGGCGGAGACCCCGCCATGGTGCGGGACATGCAGCGCAAGCGCTTCAAGGACCCCGCGCTGGTGGATGCGCTGGTGCGAGCGGACGGCGCCTGGCGGAGGTGTACGTGGGGGTGGGTGGGTGAGGGGAGGGAACCTCCGGGCTGGTGGACCCCCCTTAGCACACGCGGGCATGTCCCCCCTCCCGGTGCCTTTCCCCCACACCCTCTCAGCCCGGTGACCGGTCCGCAGGTGACAGGACGCCCCCACCACCGCCCCTAGGAGTCCCTCTCTCCCGCTCTCCCTCCCTTCCCTAGGAAGCGGCCCCCACACTGGTCCCCGAACCTCCTCGGTGAGATGGGGTGGCCTTTAGTCGGGGGTCTTTCCCGTCCTCCGCAGCTGTTTGTTGATTCTTCCCCAGCCCTCGGGGATCACCTCGGTGCATCATTGCCCTCTGGGACTGGATCCTCTGGGTAAATCACAGCAGAGACCGAGGGCTTGTCCCTGGGTGGATCCCCCTCGTCCCTAATCCCAGGGATTGAGGTGGGAGAAGTTCTCCCACTAGACCCGCCTTCCCTTAGCCCGAACATGGATCCCGTCCCATTGCGATCCCCAGGGATCCGCTCCCTGCATTGCCGCAGGATCCAGCTGGGCGGGGGGGGGGTCCTAGACAGTGCCACCCCCAGATTTGGGGTACACCACACCCGCAGGGTCCCATCTCCACCCACACGTGGAGGAACCACCTCCTCATGGCTCCCGGTGGGATATGGGGCAGGGGGATGAGCATCCAGCTCCGTCAGTGGGTGCCGGATGTGGAGAGGAGTTGGAGGGCGGCGGGAGGAGTGGGTGCCCCCAAACCCCGCTGTTCCCAGGGCACCCCAGTATTCCATTGCTGCGGGATGAAAGCGGCGCTTAGGGCTCCCCTTTAATGCGTTCACCTAGATGTCCAAGGGATCACCCGCTTCCCAGCCCCCTTCCCGCGGGCTCTGTGTCCCCAGGACGGCGGTGCTGGGGAATGGCGGGTGGCCGCAGGGTGAGGCAGGCTGGCGGGTCGCGCTGGCTGATGCAATCCCGCGGCGCCGCTGCGGGAGCCCGTGCTGTGCCGTGCTGTGTCCTGTTGGTGTTCCCTGGCTCTGGATCTCCTGGGGACTGATCCCTTCCGCTGATCAGGGTGGCACGTTCTCAGCGGAGGTGTCCCTAGTCTGAGCTTCCCCGGGTCTTGGGCTCTGCCCTTCCCAGCCCCAGGGTCATGGAGGGTGAGCATCCATGCTCCCCTCATCCAACACCCCCTGAATCTCATCACTGTGGCCTCAGATCCCAGGGTCTACTCAGTCCTTAGCAATCCCATCTGCTGAGGGAGGTGTCTCATGACAATGTGGGGTCCCAGCATAGTGTGGGGGTCCCATCCTAACAGGGAGGTCCCAGCATGTGGGGCTCCAAGCCTGTGGAGGGAGAGGTGCAATCCTGGCATGGGCATCCCAATGCAGCGTCAGGGAGGTCTCATCCTGGTGTGGGGCTCCCAGCCCAGCATGAGGGTCCTGTCCTAGCATTAGGGGGGTCCAAGTGAAGTATGGAGATCCTATGCTGATGTGGGGAGTCCCATCCTGGTGGAGGGATTCCTGTTTTGGCAGATGGGGTTCCCAGTCGAGCATGGGGGTCACAGCCCAGTGTGGGGGATCATAGCATGGAATGGGATCCCATTCCAGTACATTGTTCCCAGCCTGGCATGGGACTTCCACCCCAGTGTGGGGGACCCCATCCCCTCATGGGGATCCCAGTGTGGAGGACCTATCCCAGTCTGGGGGTCCCAGCCCAGCACGGGGAATCCCAGTGTAGGGTTCTCGTCTTAGAGTTGGGGCTGTCCCATCCCAGCGTGGTTCCAGCATGTCATGGGGGTTTCCAGCCTGGCATGGACGTCCCAGTGCAATGTCACTCCAGGTGTTTTCCAGTGATATCCCTACTCCTTGCGGCTCTGCTCCACATGATCAACCTCTGTCCTCCCAAAAACCCCAGGGCTGGTGCCTGTGGGTATTCCTGGAACTGCCATCCCCACTGCTGCTCCCATGGGGGCTCCATATCACCTCTCTATACCAGATAGGGGCCCCGGCCTTTCTCTCACTCAGCCTTCTCCCAGGTGACAGCCCCTGCCTTCCTTTGCAGGCAGGTTTCGTGCCGACAACCTGAACAAGCTGAAGAACCTGTGCAGCAAAACCATTGGGGACAAGATGAAGGTGGGGCATGAGTGCCCTGGGTCACCATATGGTGGGACATCACCAACTGGTGACATCTCTCCTTCTCCCAGCCCTCCAGTCTCTCCCTTGTGTCACTGAGGGATGTTTTCCTGCTGGAATTTTACTCTTTAACTCTCCTGGGGTTCCTTTTTCCTCTTGCTGCAGAAAAAGGAGCCAGTAGGGACGGATGAATCTGTACCAGAGAGTGCACAGAACCTGGATGAACTCACGGCTGATATCCTGGGGGTGAGTGAGACCCTAGCTCCCTCCACTGTGCCTACAGTTTGTCCAGAGCTTTGCCTGAAATTGCCCAAATTGGTGGCCTGAAGTGCCCACCAAATGAGGGGGGACTGCCTGATGCCCCAGCTGGGAGGATTCTTTATCTCTCAGTCCCACACCAGCAATAACTGACTCTTCCTCAGTGTCCTTGATCTCCCCAGCATCACTCTGTGTCAGTCAAGGGCTCATCCCTGCGAATTTGAGCGGCGTCAGTCCTTCTGTGTCCTCAGTGTGTCACTCCCTGCCTGCTTCCATCCCAGTTCGCTAGTCACCCTGGTTAATGAATGCAATGCTGGCTGCCATGGGAGCAGCTCAGGCCTTCCAGAGCCTAGCTTGTCCCCCCATTATCCTTTCAGCTGTTCTTGAGTGTGTCCAGTCCAGGGACTCATTCCAGAATATGTGGTGGGTCTAGAATTCACCATGCTGGGCCCAAGTTTCTCTGTGCTGGATGAGCAGGCCCCAGTGATCTTCTCTCTCCCCCACCTCATCCTGAGGTCTCTCTGCAGTGTCTCCAGGTATCCCAGATAAAGAAAGTTCGGCTGCTCATTGATGAGGCCATCCTGGAGTGCGACTCTGAGCGTCTGCGGCTGGAGGCTGAACGCTTTGAGAGCCTCCGCGAGATTGGGAACCTCCTCCACCCCTCTGTGCCCATTAGCAACGATGAGGTGGGACACGGGAAGGGAGGTGGGGCTGGATCAGAGGGGCCAGGAAGCTCACAGTGGGAAGCAGGGGGCTCCCAGCAGGGGATCCCCCGAGCCTGTCTTGGGTGGGCGGGTGAGGGAAATCTGCATGACAAGCCAGCATTTCCCACCGGGATCAGACAAAGAGCAGCTCAGACAACACTGAGCACACCATTGTTGGGGGAATTCATGGGAAAGGCGCTTACTGCGGTGAGGACGGGGTCTCCCTCTGTTGCCTCCATTCATCCCACGGGAATATTTTCCCAGGGGGAGCACAACTGAGCCAGGCTTGTTGCCAAGTGCCCACACAATAAGCTACAGGCTGGAGTTTGAGCCCTCAAAGTGGGCCCAGTGTGGTTCAGGGACTGGTGTCACAGTGTTCCAGGGCACTGAGGAGGTGATAGGCTCCTGCTCTTCTTTTCTCCGGGTTCCTGCAGGATGTGGACAACAAGGTGGAGCGGGTGTGGGGTGACTGCAGCTGCAGGAAGAAGTATTCTCATGTGGATCTGGTGGTGATGGTGGATGGCTATGAGGGGGAAAAGGGCGCCGTGGTGGCTGGCAGCCGTGGCTACTTCCTTAAGGTGAGAGCTGTGACCCCAGAATGATCGGGTTCAGAGAGGAACGTGGAGGGACAGGGGCCTTGGGTTCTCCTTCCCTGGGATTGATTGATGGGAGCCTCCAGAGGTCTCCTGGGCCCTCTGAGCAAGGAGGAGTGGCCTAGCAGAGTGTGTGTGTGGTGTCAGGCAGTGTGACCCTTGTTCCCAGGGCCCGCTGGTGTTCCTGGAGCAGGCGCTGATCCAGTACGCGCTGCAGAGCCTCCGTGCCCGGGGGTACACCCCGGTGTACACCCCCTTCTTCATGCGCAAGGAGGTGATGCAGGAGGTGGCCCAGCTCAGCCAGTTTGATGAGGAGCTTTACAAGGTAAGGGATTGCTCCGGATTTGGGACTTTGAAGCAAGCACCC